AAGTAAAAAATGTAAAAGGGAAAACTTTCCAGTAAAATTAAATTTTTCAGGCTCAAAAACTAATATAGAAAAATAATCCAATTTTAAATTTCACCTAAAAAACCAAGATTGTAATTCGATAGTTTTAAATTTTCATTATTTTGGGATATACCAATTATTCTTGGCATAAACAAAATTTGTGAACATAAAAATATTTGTCCTCATACAAATTTTGTCACCCCCTTTCATCTTCTTAGGGGTGGAACCTCGAAAACGTCTAAAATACGTGTTGAAGAGAATTAATACCAAGTTTCACGTAAAAATTTACAGTAGAAATATTTCTCCCATATAAACGTGGCCACAACTTTTCACCCAGTAGGGGTTGAATCTCGGACAATGCTTAAATACGTGTTTCATTATTTAAATTGAAGAGCATTATTACCAAGTTTTAAGTAAACATTACCAAAAAAATATTTTTTCCATACGTAGCTTCCACATTTCACCCCCTTAGGGGTTCAATCATAGAAAATGTTTAAATGCATGTTTCATTATTTGTGTTAAAGAGCATTAATACCAAGTTTCACGTAAAAATGTAAATTTACAGTAAAAATATTGGCCCTACACTAACTTTACTACCCCTTTTCGCCCCCTTAGAGAAATAATTTCGAGAAATCCCTTCTTAAACGATGCCCCCAGTATAAAATCTCCTCTTCAAATTTCAAATTTCTATCATTAGCGGTTTGGACTGGGCGGTGATAGGTCATTGCCTTTTATATACAGGGTGGCCCAAATAAAACGAAACAGACAGGACCGTACTTGATTATATGAAAAATGCTCGAACATGTCGATTTTTGATGCAATTTGAATTTTCCAATTTTCGATTCGTTTTTTTCTTCTTTCCGATTTTTCGGTTCATTAATTTTTTCGGCATTTAAGTTTCTAGATTTTTAGTTTTCCAATGTTTCCACTTTTCGTTTCTTCAGTCTTTCATTTTGCAATCTTTCCATTTTCCACGTTTTCGATTTTGCAATTTCTCGTTTTTAATTTTTTTTTGATTTCTTAATTTTTCGATTTTTCAATTTTTTATTTTTTATTTTTCGACTGCAATTTTTCGTTTCTTTTTTTTTGTTTCTTCAACATTTGGGATTTTTTGATTTAAAATTAATTTTTTCAATTTTTCGTTTCTTTTTTTGATTTGCAATTTTTCAATTTTCCGTTTTTTTTTGTTTCTTCAAATTTTCGATTTGCAATTTTTCGTACCTTTTTTTTATTTTCAAAAATTTGCGATTTTTTATTATACACATTTTATATTTTTTGTTTTTTCTGTTTCGGTTTTCTAAACTTTTCGTTTCTTTAAATTTTTGATTTGCAATTTCCCAGTTTTTCAATTTGATGATTATAGAATTTTTCTATTTTTGAATTATTGTTGAAGAGTATTAATACCAAGTTTCATAAAAAATTTACAGTAGAAATATTTCTCCCATATAAACGTGGCCACCACTTTTCACCCCGTAGGGGTTGAATCTCGGACAATGCTTAAATACGTGTTTCATTATTTAAATTGAAGAGCATTATTACCAAGTTTTAAGTAAACATTACCAAAAAAATATTTTTTCCATACTTAGCTTCCACATTTCACCCCCTTAGGGGTTCAATCTTAGAAAATGTTTAAATGTGTGTTTCATTATTTGTGTTAAAGAGCATTAGTACCAAGTTTCACGTAAAAATGTAAATCTACAGTAAAAATATTGGTCCTATACTAACTTTACTACCCCTTTTCGCCCCCTTAGAGAAATAATTTCGAGAAATCCCTTCTTAAACGATGCCCCCAGTATAAAATAAATATCCTCTTCAAATTTCAAATTTCTATCATTAGCGGTTTGGACTGGGCTGTGATAGGTCATTGCCTTTTATATACAGGGTGGCCCAAATAACACGAAACAGACAGGACCGTACTTGATTATATGAAAAATGCTCGAACATGTCGATTTTTGATGCAATTTGAATTTTCCAATTTTCGATTCGTCTTTTTCTTCTGTCCGATTTTTCGGTTCATTAATTTTTTCGGCATTTAAGTTTCTCGATTTTTAGTTTTCCAATGTTTCCACTTTTCGTTTCTTCAGTCTTTCATTTTGCAATCTTTCCATTTTCCACGTTTTCGATTTTGCAATTTCTCGTTTTTAATTTTTTTTTGATTTCTTAATTTTTCGATTTTTCAATTTTTTATTTTTTATTTTTCGACTGCAATTTTTCGTTTCTTTTTTTTTTGTTTCTTCAACATTTGGGATTTTTTGATTTAAAATTAATTTTTTCAATTTTTCGTTTCTTTTTTTGCTTTGCAATTTTTCAATTTTCCGTTTTTTTTTGTTTCTTCAAATTTTCGATTTGCAATTTTTCGTACCTTTTTTTTATTTTCAAAAATTTGCGATTTTTCATTATACACATTTTATATTTTTTGTTTTTTCTGTTTCGGTTTTCTAAACTTTTCGTTTCTTTAAATTTTTGATTTGCAATTTCTCAGTTTTTCAATTTGATGATTATAGAATTTTTCTATTTTTGAATTATTGTTGAAGAGTATTAATACCAAATTTCACGTAAAAATTTACAGTAGAAATATTTCTCCTATATAAACGTGGCCACCAGTTTTCGCCCCGTAGGGGTTGAATCTCGGACAATGCTTAAATACGTGTTTCATTATTTAAATTGAAGAGTATTATTACCAAGTTTTAAGTACACATTACCAAAAAAATATTTTTTTCATACTTAGCTTCCACATTTCACCCCCTTAGGGGTTCAATCTTAGAAAATGTTTAAATGCGTGTTTCATTATTTGTGTTAAAGAGCATTAATACCAAGTTTCAGGTAAAAATGTAAATTTACAGTAAAAATATTGGTCCTATACTAACTTTACTACCCCTTTTCGCCCCCTTAGAGAAATAATTTCGAGAAATCCCTTCTTAAACGATGCCCCCAGTATAAAATAAATATTCTCTTCAAATTTCAAATTTCTATCATTAGCGGTTTGGACTGGGCGGTGATAGGTCATTGCCTTTTATATACAGGGTGGCCCAAATAAAACAAAACAGACAGGACCGTACTTGATTATATGTAAAATGCTCGAACATGTCGATTTTTGATGCGATGTCGAAAATGACCTCCATTCACCTCCATACAAATATACGAAACTAGCAACGTTGTACGTACCCCTTGAATCAGAAATCGACCTGTTCGAGCATTTTTCACATAATCAAGGAGAGCGCGTACGGTCCCGTCTGTTTCGTTTTAATTGGGCCACTCTGTATATAGATTGTAATAATGGGAGATGTAACGAATGAATCTTCAGATTTACCAAGTTCCTACACAAAAATTGGTTGACAATTGTTTAGACACAAGTTCTGCCAACCCTGAACAATAGTCAAAAAATATAGTTTCTTCAAAAAAACGATGAAAATTAAATCTGACAATTTTATTCTTTTTATGATAACCGATTCGAGATGCGCTGATTTAATTTAACCTAAATTGACCTAGCTTGGCTTGTTCAGGCTTTCCTTGACCTGACATGACCTGACCCGATCTGACCTGACCTGAGCTAACCTGAACTCTGACCTGACTTCACCAATGGGAAAACAGTTCAAACGAAGTCCCTAAAATCTTTAGACAGAAAATCAGGAGGTAATATAATCATAATCAACCTCACGTTACTAAAGACGAAAAAGAGATTTTAACTTTGACATGGTTTCTAGCACAAGATCTTCATCCTTTAAAATTTTAGTAGGTTTGGTGTAGCACGACTTTTAGGTTTTTATAGTTCACCCTCAACTCTCAATTATGGATCTATATTTCAGTTTCAGGGGATAGTTCCATTATCAGTAATTGACCAGAAATTTTTACAAGTTTATCTGTGGTTCTTTTACTGTCCTGACGGCTGAATAAAATATTGAACGAACAAACTTGAGAACATTCAAAAGTAAGTATGCAAAACTTTCCTTTTAAAAATGACTATACACTCTAACAAAATAAAAGTAACTTTTGTGAATCTACATCTTTAATTCGGTAGCGCTTTTTAATAATAAATATCTGTAAGCTCCCCGAATCTGATTAGCTTTTCTCTTTGCAAAAATGCCGTTAATTTCCAAACGAAATTAAAACAAGTCATTCCCTTTGAGCAAGCGCAGCGAGCCGCCTCGCTTTCCTTCATTAGCGAATCGATAGTGTACGGCAATGACTTTTATTTGACACCCTGTCATTTTATCTCGATAGGAAGATGCTCGGCGTAACGATCGTCGCTCGAATTGTACGCGAATAAGAATTCCAAGTGGAGAAATTGGAACTCTGTTAACGTTATCCCGAAAAAAGTAACAAGATCTTAAATGAATTTAAACGACCTTAAAAGTTTACAAAACGTCTCCAGCAGTATTTTAAGGCAGAGAATTTAGTTAAGCTTGTTCTCGTTTGCAAAAATTCGGTTCATCATTTAAATGCCATTTGAAAGGCAAAGTTCGGACAGGGAACTCGAAGAATGAGAACGAATGTAAGACGAAAAACTGAATTCATTTGAATAAAAATAACAACAGTACAATTGTGTATTTAAACAGCGTGATTTATGCGGCCGATGTGTAAATAACGCTTCAATTTTAATTTTAACAGGGTTGTTAGTGCAAGCTTTTGCTGGGAAATATTAGACGGAGGAAGAAAAAACGTGTAAGAACGTGTCGTGCCGGCATAAAAGACTGCTTCTTATTGTCGTTTTGGTGCTCAGTTACAAGTCTCGGTAGAGTTTCACTTTCTTATTCAAGAAAAGAGGTCACGATGGAGCACTTCGCATCAGGATATAATCCAAATAAAATTTTTTACACTTTATGTTCAGAATAATAATTGAACAGACTTCTCGAGGCGAACATTTTCAGAACGGGGAGCATATATGCCTGAACTCAGCTCCGCACGACTTCCTCCATGTTTCCAATAATTTATACTAAGCCTAAGCCCGGCGAAAACAATGCCCCTAAACAACGCACAGATACCTTTGTGGAGTCCTCCAACATCTTGGTGTGTTCCGCTATAAATCGCACGCAGAAGCACGATTTGTGTATTTCGGGAGGACACCGTGAATGCGAGAAGGCAGGATTTCGCAGCACCGGGCTTTTGATTCCATTATCGGCCTCTCCAGATACCGTCAAGTCTTCGGATTCGGAGTGCGGCAAAGGGGCCACGGGGCCGTGAATCTGACAGCTGCCGCCGAAAGGGCCGCCGTCTTCTAAGCTGCGAACGGAAAAATTGCACGATCAATAAGTGGGTTAAGGGCGAGGGACAGAGACGCCGAGCACCGGCTTCATGATGTGGGCTTTTTGCAAAACGGGTGGATGCGTGCCGGCCAGCCGGCGAGATTTCCAGCCGAAAGCGGGGTTTTGACGAGATTAATATTTGCGGGGGTGGACATTTTTCGCCGTTTGGAGCTAAATTAAAAAGGCTTCACGTAGATTTGGCGGGGTGACGTCTTGTAGGTGTTAAATTTAATTTCAGGGGGCGGGTGGGTGGGGTATTCGCAGAAAGAGAATTGGTCGAAGGGTGTTTCGAGAGAACTTCCCTTACTCCTAAAGTGTACCCCAATAAAAAACATAAACAATTTTTGCGATTTTTCTTTTCTGATAACCTCTGTAAATTAAAAAAGAACTTTTCAATTTTTCCATTTTTAGATTTTGCAGTTTTTTTATTTGAGTTTCTGGAGTTTGCAATTTTTAGTTTTTTAATTTCTTGATTTGCAATTTTTCGTTTCATTTTTCCATTCTATATTTTTTTAATTATTAGATTTTTCAATGTCCAAAATTTATAACTTTTTGCTTTTTCAATATTAATTTTTTTAATTTTCCACTTCTTCCATTTTTCGCTTTGCGACTTTTGTTTTTATTTTTTCATTTGCAAGTTTTCGTTTCGTTTTTTTTAGTTTTACAATTTTTCAATTCATCAATGCTTCGATTTTATAATTTTTTTTCTTTTCAGTTTTTTTCAATGTTTCGTAACTTCAATTTTTCGAATGGCAATTTTTCAATTTCTCATTTTTTGTTTCTAAAATTTCACGATATGCAACATTTCAAGTTTTTCTTTTTAAATTTTGTAGAATTTTTCGATTTACTAACTTTCTTCGATTTGCAGTTTCACGAGTATTCAGTTTTTTTTTGATTTTTCAATTTTTGATGTCTTCAATTTTCGATTTTTTGTTTTCTTTATTTTTTTAGTTTTTCAATGTTATAATTTTTTAATTATTCTTTTTTCGGGATGAAATAATTCAATGTTTGGTTGATTTTTCAATTTTTCGAATTGTAATTTTTCGGCTTTTCAATTTTCTGATTTTTCAGCTTTTTGATCTTTCAATTTCTTTGTTTTTTCAATTTTAGATTTTCCAGTTGCTCGAGTTTTCAATTTTTCGGTTCTACAATTTTTGACTTACAAAAAAAATCTTTTACATTTCATTTTAAATGTATACGTAATAATAATTATAATTTTTAAAATTTTTCACTCTCTCCATTTTACGATTTTAAAATTTCTTCATTTTTTAATTATTGGATATTAAAACTGTTCCATTTATTCGACTTTTGAGTTTTTCGATTTTTCAGTTTTTAGATTTTTCGTCACTTAATTTTTCAATTTTTGCATCTTTTTGCATCTTTCCGTGTTAAGGTTTTTCGACTTTATAAATTTGACGAGTCTATAATTTTTCGATTATACAGTTTTTGGATTTTCCAATTTTCGATTCGTTTTTTCTTCTTTTGAATTTTTCAATTCATTATTTTTTTTTACTTCTAAGTTTCTCGATTTTTAGTTTTTCAATGCTTCCATTTTTCGTTTCTTAAGTCCTCTCATTTGCGATCTTTCGATTTTGCAATTTTTCGTTTTTTCAGTTTCTAGATTTTTCAATTTTCTCTGATTTCTTAGTTTTTCGTTTCTTCAATTTTTCATTTTTTTTTGTTTCCTCAATATTTAGATTTTTGGATTTAAAATTTCTCGGGTTATCAATTTTTCATTTTTTAATTATTCAATTCTTCAAATTTTCGAGTTGCAATTTATCGTACCGTTTTTTTTCTTTTTCATTTTTACAATTTTGTGATTTTTCATTATTTCTATTTTATATGTTTGTGTCTTTTCAATGTCAGTTTCCCCAATTTTTTGTTTCTTTTATTTGTGATATGAAATTTTTTTACTTTTTCAATTTTACGATTTCATAATTTTCTCATTTTTCTATTATCGGATTAAAAATGTTTCCATTTATTCCGTTTTCCAGTCTTTCGATTTTTTATTTATTCAATGTTTCCATTTTTGGTTTTTTCAGTCCTTCGATTTGCAATTTTTCAATTTTCGACCTTTCTGATTTTATAATTTTTCGTTTTTTCACTTTTCAAGTTTCTCAATATTTTCTAAATTCTTAGTTTATAGATTTTTAATTTTTCAATTTTTTGGTTCTTCGATTTGCAATTTTTTGTTTCAGTTTTTTATTTTCTTTATTTTTTTCAAGTATTCAATTTTAATTGCTTCAATTTTTCGTGTCTTCAATCTTTGGATTTGCGATTTTTCATTTTTTTTTGTTTCTTCAACATTTTGCGATTTTTCGATTTAAAATGATTTTTTTTAATTTTTCATTTCTCTCATTCTTCGCGTCGCAATTTTTCAATTTTTCGTTTTTTTGTTTTTTCGGCATCTAGATTTTGCAATTCAACAAATTTTAAAATTTCTCGAGTTTTCAACTTTTCTTTTTTTAGTTGTTCAATTCCTGAAATTTTCGATTTGCAATTTTTCGTATCTTTTTTTATTTACTTTATTTTAAAAAATCTGGGATTTTTCATTACCCCATTTCAATTATTTCTTTTCGCTTTCAGTTTTCCAAATTTTTCGTTTCATTTATTTTTTGATTTGCAGTTTCTCAGTTTTTCAATTATTGGATTTTAAAATTTTTTCATTCATTCCATTTTTCAGTTTTTCGATTTTCAATTTTTCAATATTACCATTTTTTGTTTTTTGAGTTCTTCGATTTGCAGTTTTTCGATTTTCCACTTTTTCTATTCTGCAATTTTTCGTTTTTTCACTTTTTAAATTTTTCAATTTTTTCTGTGTTCTTAGTTTTACCATTTATAATTTTTCAATTTTTTGATTTGCAATATTTCGTTTTTTCAGTTCACCTTTTTTATTTTTGTTTATTTTTCAAATATTCAACTTTATTGCTTCAGTTTTTCGTTTCTTGAATTTTCAGATTTGTGATGTTACAATTTTTTTTTTCAAATTTTCGTTTTGCGATTTTTCAATTTTTCGCTTTTTCTTGTTTCTTCAAGATTTGGGTTTTGCGATTTATCGATTTAAAATTTCTCGAGTTTTGATGTTTCACTTTTTAATTATTTGATTCTTAAAATTTTCGATTTGTAATTTTTCGTACGGTTTTTTATTTGCTTGATTTTTTCAATTTAGCGATTTTTCATTATTCCGATTTTATATTTTTTTGTTTTTCACTTTTCATTTTCTTAATTTTTCGTTTCTTCTATTTTTTGGTTTGCAATTTTTCACTTTTTCAATTTTAGTTTTTTAGAATTTTTCCATTTTCCAATTATTGGATTTTTAAATTTTTTCATTTATTCGATTTTTCAGTTTTTCGATAATCTATTTTTTCAATGTTTCCATTTTTTATTTTTTCAGTATTTCGATTTAAATGTTTTGATTTTCCACTTTTTCGATTTTGCAATTTTTCGTTTTTTCACTTTTTAGATTTTTCAATATTTTCTAATTTCTTAGTTTTTATATTTTTAATTTTTTAATTATTCGATTCTTCAAATTTTCGATTTGCAATTTTTCGAACCGGTTTTTTTATTTTTTTATTTTTAGAATTTAGCGGTTTTTCATTATCCCAACAGTGTATTTTTTTATTTTTTTCAATTTCAGTTGGCTCAATTTTTCTTTTCTTCTATTTTTAATTTTCAATTTTTCAATTTTTCATTCTTATGTCTTCAATTTTACCATACACAACTTTTCGAGTTTTTATTTTCAAAATTTAAAATTTTTATTTTTTCGATTTTTGAACATCTGCATGTCTCAGCTTTCAGTTTTGCAATTTTTTGATTTGCAGTTTGATTTGTGTACAAGTTTTCAGTTTTTTAATTTTTCGATTTTTTTATTTTGCAATTTTTTGTTTCGGTTTTTCGTTTTGCAATTTTTGGATTTTTCAGTTTTTCGATTTGCAATTGTTCTGCTTTTAGTTTTTCGAATTTTGAAATTTAAATTGTTTAATATTTCGCTTTTTCAATTTTAGATTTTACAGTTTCTCGATTTTTAAGTTTCTTGTTTCTTTAACTTTTGATTTGCAATATTTCTAGTTTTCATCTTAAATGTTTACAATAATAATCATAATTTTTTGAAATTCACTACGTTTACGATTTTAGAATTTTCCAGTTTTATTTATTGAATTTTAAAACTGTTTTTCTTAGTCTTTCGATTTTTAGTTTTTCGATTAGTAATTTTTCGTTTCTATTTTGTTTTCTTTATTTTTTCAAATATTCAATTTTAAGTGGATCAGTTTTCCGTTTTTTCAGTTTTTAAATTTGTGATCTTTAATTTTTTTTTCTTCCACATTTAGATTTTGTTTCAATTTAAAATTCACTGCATCAATTTCACATTTCTTCAATTTTTCGCTTTGCGATTTTTCATACCGGTTTTTATTTTCTTAATTTTTACAATTTTTCGATTTTTCAATATTACAATTTTTTTTTTTTCAATTTCATTTTATTTAATTTTTTGTTTCTTCTTCATTTGCGTTTATTCAATTTTTCATTTTTTGTGTTTCTTAAATTTACGATATGCAACTTTTCGAGTTTTCATTTTAAAAATTTTTAATTTTTTAATTTTTTGATTTTCCCATAATTGCATGTTTTAGTTTTCAGTTTTTGCAATTTTTCGATTTGCAGGTTAACGAGTTTTCAGTTTTTTATTTTTCGGTTTTTCAATTTTTCCGTTTTTCAATGTTCATATTTTATAATTTCTCTTTGTAATTTGTCGTTTTTTCATTTTTAGATTTTTCAGTTTCTCGATTTTTCAGTTTTTTGTTTCATTAATTTTTTTTTAATTTATTAGTTTTACAATGTTAGAATTGTCCATTTTTCATTTATTGAATTTTAAATCTTTTTTCATTTACCTACTCGATTTTTCAATTTTTGGATTTTCCTATTTTTCGATTCGATTCGGTTTTTCTTTCTAATTTTTCGATTTGTAAGTTTCTCGATTTAGTTTCCAGTGTTTGAATCGTTCGTTTCTTCACTTCTTCGATTTTCAGTTTGTCGATTTTCCACTTTTCCGATTTTGCAACTTCTGTTTTTTCAGTTTTTAAATTTTGCAATGTTTTCAAAGTTTTTGAATTTTTCAATTTTTTACTTTTCGAATCATAAAAATGGAAAAATTGCAAAACTGGTAAAACTGAGAAATCAAAAATAAAAAACGAAAAGGTGTAAAATGAAACTTTGAAAAATCTAATAATTTGAAATCAAGAACTCGTGATAAACTGAAGAAACAAAAAATTGAAAAATCCAAAGATTAAAAGTTGAGACACTTAAAAATCGAAAAAGTGCAAAATCGAAAAAACGAAATGTTGTAAAATAATAATGAATAATTGAGAAATCCAAAAATGGCAAAATTGAGAAACTAAAAAATTAGAAAATCGATGAACTGAACAATCAAAAATTGAAAATTTGGTGAATTGAATAAACGAAATACAAAATTGAAAGGAACATTGAAAACTCAAAGGAAATGAAAAAACAGGACAAAAATAAAAATCAAGAACTTGAAATCTTATTTAAAGTTCGGAAGATTAAAAACTGAGAAACTAAAAATCGAAGAATAAAAAATTGTGACATCGAAATTTTGCAAATTGAAAAATTTAAGAAAGGAAAACCTGAAAAATTTGTAAGTCGTGAAATCGAAAAATTGAAAAAATTACAGTTACAATAACGAAAAATTATGAAACCAAAATGGATTGAAAAATTAAAGGAAATGAAAACTCGAAAAATTGTGATCTCGGAGAAAAAGGATAAACGAAAAATTGTGAAAATTAATAATTACAGTATTCCCAAATTTTCGGGAAAATGGAGTGGGACGTTTTTGATTAAATCAGTAGAATAAACTGCTCCACTCATAACTTTTTTTTTGAGTCACTCTGTATTGGGAGTGGACAAGCGAACTTTGATTAACGATATACCATGCTTATGATAATCTTAAAGCTTGTGCAAAATTTCAGAGCATTGGGTTTTGTAGTTTCAAAGTTAAATTGAAAAATATTAAACAATTTTGATTTTTTTTTCAAAAATATGGATGGCAATACAAAATTTGACAAAATTGGTGTGGTAGTTTCGGAGATTATCTACCTAATAAAAATCCTAGATTACAACCCTTCCTTAGCTTACACTCGATAAACAAAAACTCACTTATGTTTAAAATTTAGTTAATTCTAGCTGATTTTCTACGAACTGTTTAATTATCTCGTTGCGGCATAACCATCCCCTCCCTGCGATGTCAAAATTCGATAAGTGTGATTATTTAGTGGCAATAATTTCGACGTAAACTTCCGTTATCCTGAATATTAATTAGCCGCTCGTCTCTTAAGAGTAGCGAATACAATCAACTTATTTCACAATTTTAACTACTTCTCGCTGTATCCGGATTCCATCCACGTCTCAAAGTGGAAGTGATGAATAATAATGGGCTTAACAATAGAAATTGCCTTTTAATACTGCTGCTTTCAGTTCAGATGAAGGTTCAACTTGATGGAATTTAGCTTCTGGGTTTAATAATTGCAAAAACATCGATCCGCTTGTTTGACGCTCCGGACATGAATAGACCGATGGGTCTACATGGCATCTGGGGCACAAAACAATCGGCCACAGTTTTAAGCTCCCATGTACAATGTGTAAAACAGGATTAATTTTACTTTACCTAGGAGATAAGTCTTCTTTGGATGGGCTTCTGCTGGGGTACCTCCTCTTCGGGCTACCCTCGTCCCTGTGCATCGTCGTGTGGTAGGGGTAAAGACAAGTCGATGGCTCCCGGCCCCGGATTAAGAACCGACTAGACATGGACCTGTATCACGAAACGAAATCATCAACAGCGTGTTTGGACACAGTTTTGGTTGCCTAAATATGCAAGGAGGAGCGTGGCGTGTTTGGAAGGCATAAAACACCACATTTAGCGCAACGTTTGGGCGGCAAAACTGTTAATTTAGAGCCCCAAGTGGTGGTAATAAACACGTTATTTAGTTAGTTTTGAGTTTTTATTTGATTACCTGTTGGTTTCGAATATGTATTGGGGTCTTTTCATTACTAGCAGTCTTGGTAGTATGTGTATGAACACCCTTTTCACCCATGGTGACATTTTGTGCGTTTGGGGCGAGCGAAAATGGACGTTGAGGACGACGACGGTGACGCATATGCTGGAAGAGGAAAAACAGAGAAATTAGAAATGTGCGTGGGTGAAAACTATTTTCGTTGATGAAATTTTCATATACAGCGGATTATTTATCAAAATCTTCTGAATATAAGGGATTTGAAAATGTGTCCAGTTTATTTATTTTTTTTTTTGAAGGAATTAGCAACAATTTTAAGCATTCCTGCTGTTTTGTTTCTTGAAAGAATTTGAAATTCTAATTTTAGAGATTTTTGGTGCTTTATTTTTGAACGAATTTTGGAAACCTTTAATGTTTTGTTATGAATAAATTTAAGAAAATCTTGAGGGCACTGAATGTATCGTTTTAAAGGAACGCGAGAGACCATGATATTTTATTTTTGAATGAATGTTAGAAACCCACAATGTCTTTTGTAAATGAAGAAATTTGAAAAATTTTGGCGACTTCCAGGGTTTTATTTTTGAAGGAATTTCAAATAATCTTCGGGATTCCTGGCGTTTTTTTTCTGAAAGAAATTTGAAGGATCTTAAGGATGCTTGATGTTTTTTTTTTCTTAAAGGAATTACAAAGAATCCTGAGGGTATGTGGAGTTTTTTTTTATGAAGAAATAAAAAAAAATCTTCGGAAACCCTGGTGCTTTTTTTCTTAAAAAAAATTGAATCCTGGGGGTACTTGGTGTTTTTTAAGGGATGTGAAAGTGTGTTCGGGGTCTCTGTTTCTTTTTTTTTTTTTTTGAAGGAATTAAAAAAAATCTTGAACGCTGCTGCTGTTTTTTTTTTTTGAAAGAGTTTGAAACAATTTGATTGTGCGTGGTGTTTTTATTTTTGAAGGAATTTTGGGAGTCTCTGACGTGTTGTTCCATTTTCTCGGTCTTCCGATGTTTCCATATTTTGATCATTCGACTTTTTTATTTTTGAATTTTTCGGCTTCTAAATTGCATATTTTTCAATTTTTCGATTTTTCGTTCTTTTGACCATTCAATCTTTCGAATTTTTCGAATCATTCTTGGGTTTTTCAATTTTTGGATTTTTAGAAATTTCAGTTTCACGTTTTTCCATTTTTCGATACTTCAAATTTTCCATCTTTCGAAATTTCGATCATTCAGTCAGTAGATCATATGACTTATCCATCTCGATTCGAATTTTTAGATTCGTGAATTTTCGAAATATGCGATTTTTAATTTTTTGATTTCATTTCCAATTTGATATTTTATCATTTTTTAATCTTTCAATATTTCCATCTTTTTCAGTTTCGATTATTCGATCTTTCGATTTTTCATTTTCAGATTTTTTAATTTTTCAGTTGAATATTTCCCCATTTAGTTTTGTAATTATCGTATTTTTCGATAATAATTGGTTATTTTTAGATTTCTCGGTTGAGTGTTTTTCCACTTTTTGATTTTTTCATTTTTCGATTTTTCATTTTTGTCGATTTTTCGATGTTTCCATATTTAAATCATTCGACTTTTTTATTTTCGAATTTTTTGATTTTGCATTTTTAATTTTTAAGATTTTAAAGTAAATATTTTTCCATTTTTCGAGTTTTCGTTCGTTTGAACATTCAGCCTTTCGATATATTCATCTTTCGATATTTTTATTTTCCAATTTTTCGGTTCATTTTTGGATTATCAATTTTTCTGTTGGATTTTTCAATTTTTTCGATTTTTAGAAATTTCAATTTGACGTTTTTCCGTTTTTCGATACTTCGAATTTTCTATCTTTCGAAATTTCAATAATACAATCAGTAGATCATATGACCTATCCATCTCGATCGTTCGATTTTCAATTTTTTAGATTTGTGAATTTTCGAGGTATGCGATTTTTCATTTTTGGATTTCATTTTCAATTTGATATTTTATCGTTTTTTAATCTTTCAATATTTCCATCTTTTTCAGTTTCGATTATTCGATCTTTCGATTTTTCATTTTCAGATTTTTCAATTTTTCAGTTGAATATTTCATCATTTCGTTTTTTAATTATCGTATTTTTCGATAATTGGTTATTTTTAGATTTCTGGGTTGACTGTTTTTCCACTTTTTGATTTTTTCATTTTTCGATTTTTCATTTTTTCGATTTTTCGATGTTTCCATATTTAAATCATTCGACTTTTTGATTTTCGAATTTTTTGATTTTGCATTTTTAATTTTTAAGCTTTTAAAGTAAATATTTTTCGATTTTTCGAGTTTTCGTTCGTTTGAGTATTCAGCCTTTCGATATTTTCATCTTTCAATATTTTTATTTTCCAATTTTTCGGTTCATTTTTGGATTATCAATTTTTCTGTTGGATTTTTCGCTTTTTTCGATTTTTAGAAATTTCGATTTGACGTTTTTCCATTTTTCGATACTTCGAATTTTCCAGCTTTCGAAATTTCGATCATTCAATCAGTAGATCATATGACCTATCCATCTCGATCGTTCGATTTTCGAATTTTTAGATTTGTGAATTTTCCAATTATGCGATTTTTCAATTTTGGATTTCATTTTCAATTTGATATTTTATCATTTTTTAATCTTTCAATATTTCCATCTTTTTCAGTTTCGATTATTCGATCTTTCGATTTTTCATTTTCAGATTTATAGATTTTTCAGTTCAGCATTTCCCCATTTTTCGATCTTTCGATCATTGAATCCTTCGATCATTCCAATTTTTCGGTTCATTTTTGGATTATCAATTTTTGTGTTGGATTTTTCAATTTTTTCGATTTTTAGAAATTTCAATTTGACGTTTTTCGATTTTTAGAAATTTCAATTTGACGTTTTTCCGTTTTTTGATACTTCGAATTTTCCATCTTTCGAAATTTCAATAATTCAATCAGTGGATCATATGACCTATCCATCTTGATCGTTCGATTTTCGAATTTTTAGATTTGTGAATTTTTGAATTATGCGATTTTTCATTTTTGGATTTCATTTTCAATTTGATATTTTATCATTTTTTAGTTTTCAATATTTCCATCTTTTTCAGTTTCGATTATTCGATCTTTCGATTTTTCATTTTCAGATTTTTCAATTTTTCAGTTGAATATTTCCCCATTTAGTTTTTTAATTATCGTATTTTTCGATAATTGGTTATTTTTAGATTTCTCGGTTGTCGATTTTTCATTTTTTCGATTTTTCGTTGTTTCCATATTTAAATCATTCGACTTTTTTTATTTTCGAATTTTTCGATTTTGCATTTTTAATTTTTAAGCTTTTAAAGTGAATATTTTTCCATTTCTCGATTTTTCATTCTTTTGAGCATTCAGTCTTTCGATATTTTCATCTTTCGATATTTTTATTTTCGAATTTTTCGATTCATTTTTGGACTATCAATTTTTCTGTTGCATTTTTCAATTTTTCGATTTTTAGAAATTTCAATTTGACTTTTTTCCATTTTTCGATACTTCGAATTTTTCATCTTTCTATATTTTCGATCAATCGATATTTCGATTTTTGTGGATTTTCGGATTTTTCGCTACTTCAGTTTCAAATTTTTACATTTTTCGATATTTTTACCATTCGATTAGTAAATCTTATAACCAATCCATCATTCTATAGTTCTATTTTTTAAATTTTCCATTTCATATTTTTCCATTTTGATTTTTTTTTTTATATGGACCATTCGATCTTCGGTTTTTGGATTTTCGAATTTTTTGATTTTTGGAATGTTTCGAGTTTTGGATTTTCGAATTATTCGATTTTTCATTTTTATATTTCATGCTCAAATTTGGTATTTCATCATTTTTTGATCTTTCAATATTTCCATCTTTTTCAGTTTCGATCAGTCGATCTTTCGATATTTGTGAATTTTCAGACTTTTCCATGTTTCAATTTGAAATTTTTACATTTTTCGATTGTCCGTTATTTCGTTCATTCCACCATTCGATGTTTCACACATAATGTTTTTTTATGTTATAAAGACTTTGAGGCCTCTTGCTGTTTTAGTTTTGAAAGAATGTTGGAAGCCCACGGTGTTTTTTGTAACTGAAGATATTTCAAAGAATATTTTCGACTTCCAATGATTTATTTTTGAAAAAATTTCAAAATAATCTTTGAGTTGTCTGCCGTTTTTTTCAGAACGAAATTTGAAGGATCTTAAGGATGCTTGGTGTTTATTTTTTTAAAGAAATTAGAAATGATCTTAGGAGTTTGTGGTGTTTTTTTTCTTGAAGGAATTTATAAGAATCCTTGGAACCCCTGGTATTTCTTAAAAATTTGAATATTCTTAATGTTCCCTGCTGTTCCTTTTTCTTCAAGGAATTAAAAAGAAGGGTATGTGGAGTATTTTTCATGAATAAATTTTAAAAAATCTTGGGGACATCTGGTGTTTGAAATTTGAAAGTGTGTTCCGGGTCTCGGTTTCTCTTTTTCTTAAAGAAATTATAAAAAATCTTGAACGCTTCCGGTGTTTTTTTTTTTCTTGAAAAAACATTTTAAACTATTTGATTGTTCGTGGCGTTTTCTTTTCGAAGAAATTTTGTGAGCCTCTTATGTCTTGGTTTCGATAAATTTAATAGAATTTTGAGGGACCTAATGCTTTTTTTGTTTTAAGAATGTTAAATAATTTTGAGACCTCTTGGTGTTTTATTTTTGAAAGAAGATTGGAAGGTCTCGATGTTCCTTTTAAATGAAGAAATTTGAAATAATCTTCGGAACTCCTGGCGTTTTTTTCTGAAAGATATTTGAAGAATCTTCATGGTCCCTGGTATTAATGTTTGTTTAAGAAATTAGAAATTATTTTAGGGGGTATTTTTCTCCCTGAAGGAAGTAAAAGAATCTAGGGGTTACGAATGTTCCTTTCTTTTAAGAAATTGAAAGAATTCTTCGGACACCTAGGGTTCCTTAAGAATTTTTAAATAATCTTAGGGTTTCGTGGTCTTCTTTTGTCTTAAAGGGTAACCTCTAATGGTTTGTTCTGAATAAATTTGAGAGAATCTTGGGGCCACCTAATAGTTTGTTTTAAAGGAATGCGAAAGAATTTTGAGAACTGTTGATGTTTTATTTGTGAAAGAATTCTGGAAGACCTTACTATTTTTTGTTACTGAAGAACTTTGAAAGAATGTTGGAGGCCTCTGGTGTTTTATCTGAAAGGAAGTTAAATGAATCTTGGGGGCCCTTAATGTTTTTTTTTTGAGAAAATTTGAAAAATCTCGAGGCCATATTCGGCTTATTTTTTTTTTTTAAATTAGAAAGAATGCTTTTAGAATGATGTGATATGAAGACACTTAAATGAGAGTATTGAAGGCGTCTAGTGTTTTTTTCTCTCAAGGAATTTGAAAGTATATTGTGTTTTAATTTCAGTCACGAGTGTTCTTTTTTTTTCTTGAAAAAATTTGAAGGAGTCCCTGGGACACCTGGTGTTTCTTAAGAATTTTGAAAGAATCTCGTGGTGTTCTTTTTTCTCAAAGGAATTAGAAAGAATCTTGATGACCTATGGTGTGTTTTTCATGAAGAAATTCGAAAGAATCTTGAAGGCACCTGGTGTTTGCTTTAAGAGAACTGATTCTTTTTTCTTGACGAAATTAGAAATAATTTTAATGATTTCTGTTGGATTTTCTTGAAAAAAAAAACTGAAAGAATTTCAGGGGTTGTTTTCAAACAATTTTGGGAGATGTTGTTTTTTTGTTACTGAAGAAGTTTGAAAGAATTTTGGAGGCTTTTCATTTTTGAAAAAAATTGTGATAATCTAAGGGCTCCTGGTCTTTTATCTCAAAGGAAGTTAAATAAATCTTGGGGGGGGGGCAGATGTTTTTTTTTTTTTGAGAAAATTTGAATCTTGCGGCTCCTGGGGGATTGTTTTCTTAAAGAAATTTGAAAGAATCTTAGGAACCTCTTGTGTGATCTTGAAGTTTAGAAAAATTTTCCGAATCTCGGGACTTTTTTTCGAAGAAATTTGAAAGAAACTTGAGGGCAGCTGGTGTTTATTTTTAAGGAATCTGAAAATGTGTTCGGGGTCTCGGTTGATTTTTTTCCTTGAAGAAATTAGAATTAATCTTGAGGGCACCTAATGCTCTGTTTTAGAAGAATGCGAAAAAATTGTCGGAGGTATTGGTGTTTTTTCGTGAAGAAATTAAAAAAAATTAAAAGCTCTTGGTGTTTAATATTTCAAAGAATTTGAGGAGGTTCTACTATTTTTGTTACCTAAGAAATTTGAATTTGGAGGCCTCTTGAGTTTTATTTTTGAAAGAATTTGAAGAATTTGAAAAAATCTTAGAGATCCCTGATGTATTTTTGAGGGAATTTGAAAAATCATGGAGGCATCGGGTATTGATTTTTCTTGTTAAAATTAGAATGGATTCTGCGGGGCCGTGATATGCTTTATTTTTGAAGAGATTTGAAAGAATCTTGAAAGCACTAGGTGTTTTTTCTTTCAAGGAATTTGAAAGTATGTTGGATGTCACTGTTTTTTTTCTTGAAAGAATTTTGGTAGCCGTTGGTGTTTTATTATTGAGGAACCCTGGTGTTTTCTATTATTGAAGAAATTTGAGAGAAACTTAGAGGCCACCAGTGTTTTATTTTTGAAAGAATTTCAACTAATCTTCGAGACTCCTGGCGTTTTTTTTCTGAAAGAAATTTGTAGAATCTTAATCTTTAGGGTCCCTGATGATTTTTTTTTTAAGAATCAGAAATAATCTTGGAGGTTTGTGGTGTTTTTTTTATGAAGAAATTTCAAAGAATCTTGGGATCATAGGGGATTCTACTTTCTTGAAGAAACTTAAAACAACCTTAGAAAAATTCCCTTGTGTTCTTTTTCTTGAAGAAATTAGAAAAAATCTTGATGCTATGTCGTGTTTTCATGAAGAAGTTAAAAAATCTTTTCGAATCTCGGGTGTATTTATTTTTGAAGAAATTTTAAAGAATCTTGAGGGCTGCTGGTGTTTTTTTTAAGGAATCTGAAAGTGGAGACCCTGCCATTTTTGTTACCTAAGAAATTTGAATTTGGAGGCCTCTTGAGTTTTATTTTTGAAAGAATTTGAAAAAATCTTAGAGATCCCTGATGTATTTTTGAGGGAATTTGAAAAATCATGGAGGCATCTGGTGTTTATTTTTCTTGTTAAAATTAGAATGGATTCTGGGGGGCCGTGATATGCTTTATTTTTGAAGATATTTGAAAGAATCTTGAAAGCACTTGGTGTTTTTTCTTTCAAGGAATTTGAAAGTATGTTGGATGTCTCTGTTTTTTTTCTTGAAAGAATTTTGGTAGCCGTTGGTGTTTTATTTTTTGAGGAACCCTGGTGTTTTCTATTATTGAAGAAATTTGAGAGAAACTTAGAGGCCACCAGTGTTTTATTTTTGAAAGAATTTCAACTAATCTTCGAGACTCCTGCCGTTTTTTTTTCTGAAAGAAATTTGAAGAATCTTAATCTTTAGGGTGTCTGATGATTTTTTTTTTAAGAATCAGAAATAATCTTGGAGGTTTGTGGTGTTTTTTTTATGAAGAAATTTCAAAGAATCTTGGGATCATAGGGGATTCCACTTTCTTGAAGAAACTTAAAACAACCTTAGAAAAATTCCCTTGTGTTCTTTTTCTTGAAGAAATTAGAAAAAATCTTGAAGCTATGTCGTGTTTTTTTTCATGAAGAAGTTAAAAAATCTTTTCGAATCTCGGGTGTTTTTATTTTTGAAGAAATTTTAAAGAATCTTGAGGGCTGCTGGTGTTTTTTTAAGGAATCTGAAAGTCGAGACCCTGCCATTTTTGTTACCTAAGAAATTTGAATTTGGAGGCCTCTTGAGTTTTATTTTTGAAAGAATTTGAAAAAATCTTAGAGATCCCTGATGTATTTTTGAGGGAATTTGAAAAATCATGTAGGCATCTGGTGTTTATTTTTCTTGTTAAAATTAGAATGGATTCTGGGGGGCCGTGATATGCTTTATTTTTGAAGATATTTGAAAGAATCTTGAAAGCACTTGGTGTTTTTTCTTTCAAGGAATTTGAAAGTATGTTGGATGTCTCTGTTTTTTTTCTTGAAAGAATTTTGGTAGCCGTTGGTGTTTTATTTTTTGAGGAACCCTGGTGTTTTCTATTATTGAAGAAATTTGAGAGAAACTTAGAGGCCACAAGTGTTTTATTTTTGAAAGAATTTCAACTAATCTTCGAGACTCCTAGCGTTTTTTTTTCTGAAAGAAATTTGAAGAATCTTAATTTTTAGGGTCCCTGATGATTTTTTTTTAGAATCAGAAATAATCTTGGAGGTCTGTGGTGTTTTTTTTTTTTTTTTTGATGAAAAAATTTAAAAGAATCTTGGGATAATGGGGGAATCTGCTTTCTTGAAGAAACTAAAAGAACCTACGAATTCCCTTGTGTTCTTTTTCTTAAAGAAATTAGAAAAAATCTTGAAGGTATGTCGTGTTTTTTTTCCATGAAGAGTTTAAAAAAATCTTTCCGAATTTCGAGTGTTTTTATTTTTGAAGAAATTTGAGAGAATCTTAAGGGGCGCTGGTGTTTTTTAAGGGATCTGGAAGTGGAGACCCTGCTATTTTTTTACCTAAAAAATTTGAATTTGGAGGACTCTGGAGTTTCATTTTTGAAAGAATTTGAAAAAATCTTAGAGATCCATGGTATATTTTTGAGGAAATTTGAAAAATTTTGGCGCCATCTTCTTTGAAAAAATCTTAAGGGCCGCTAGTGTTTTTTTGAGGGATCTGGAAGTGGAGACCCTGCTATTTTTTTACATAAGAAATTTGAATTTGGAGGACTCTGGAGTTTTATTTTTGAAAGAATTTGAAAAAATCTTAGAGATCCATGGTATATTTTTGAGGGAATTTGAAAACTTTTGACGCCATCTTCTGCTTATTTTTCTTGAAAAAATTAGAAATAATCTTGAAGGCCCTGATGTGCTTTGTTTTTGAAGACATTTCAAAGACACTTTAGCACAGCTGGTGTTTTTTTCAAGGAAATTCAAAGTATCTTGGATGACTGTATTTTTTTTTTAATTTTTGGGGTTCTTGGTGTTTTATTTTTGAAGGAATTTGGGGTGTTTTCTATTAATGAACAAATTTGAGGACATCCTAGAAGGCTCTAGTGTTATATTTTCGAAAAAAATTCAAATAATGTTGGAGGTTCCTAGCGTTTCCATCTTAAAAGAATTTGAAACAATTTTCGAAGTCCCTGATTTTTTTTTCTTGAAGGAATTTGAAAGAATTTTGTGGGTTTCTGGTATCCGTAGAATCTTGGAGAATTTAAAAATTACTGAACGTATCTGTGAACGTGAAAATCATATCTTTTTAAACGTTAAGTGCTCCTTTGTGACTTATACTTGCAGAATAAATTATTTGTTTTATATTTAGTACATCAATAACCAAAATCTTAATAAAAGTGACACCGTTAAAGACCTGGGCGTAATGTTTTACTTACAGATAACTTTTTCAGAACACGTATCAACAGCCTCAAAATCTCTAGGATTTGTAATACTTGCTTCCCCAAGATTTAAAAGCACATTTTTTACTTTTTTGTGGGGAGTGTTGTGGCGGATTGCGTTTTTTGCTAACGGCATCAAACCAGCAACTTTTTAATTTATGTTTTTGTAATTATTAAAGTTCATTTTCATCTATTACGTTCACCACTAATTTAATTTAATTTAATTTAATTGTACATGTACACAAATACATATTTATTTTGTCCTGTTAATGAGAAAATGTTGGGCATTAAACTTATTGTTATTATTTTAAACAAGGAATCTAAGACAAAGCCTTTCGTGTAGCGCCGCCCCATATATATATATACCCCAAAGTCTCATAATTTAAAACGGTGGAAACCCTCCACCACGGCGCATTAAATATGCACAATATGATGTAGTGTTAAAAGCTTCCTCCGACTTCGTGCCATGGTAATCTATACCCAGTTCCGATAACCGCCACATCTTTAATTTTAAATAATTCACTTACCTTATCGATACGAGGATCATCGCAAATATGAGATATTTCCCTAATAAGGGTACCACCAGCGACGTCGGTGGAATGATTTCGACGACCAGCAGGAAGAACACGTGGAGGCTAATCAGGATGGATATCGACAGAGTCACCTGAAAAGGGAAAAGGCCGGGTAGCAGCTTGTTGGCATGCATTTATGTTTGTTTCGTGTAATTGGTTGCTGTGTTTACTACTGTGATTTAGTGAGAACTTCACGTCCAGTTGTTGGAGTCAATTATAGCAAATGTGATGAAATATCCAGCCACCGTGAGATAACAGAATGTAATTAGACCAGACGAGAATGCAAAGAGCGATTTCCAGAACAGAACAATGCTTGGAGACAAAATACATCGCGTTAGCATGCATGAGGCAAACAGTAAAAGTTATTTATTCAATTGCACAGAGGAAATGGGGAAGTTGCATTCTGAGAGTTATCTCCAGAGACGCTAAAACTATTACTAATGAGTAGAAAATAACGCAAAAATATTCACAAGCGATTGTTGGAAGTGATTTATTAGACGGAAACGGGTGACAGATTTAGGTAAACATTTATTCACAATCAGCATAACCTCCGTTTGTTTAGTCAAATTAGCGCCGGTGTACACCGGGTGTTTCAAATTTTGTTTCCCAGGCAGTGCGATCTGCGATTACAAAGTTCAAGTACAGGTCAAATTCGCGTTTTCCATAATTGCGAACGCAAAAATTTGGTGATTTCGATAGAACTTCCCCGGCCTCTTCTAATAAATCCCACTTCTTTAAAAAATTATAAATTATTATGTGTTTTTTGTTTTCTGATAACATCTATAAAGTAAAAACCAATGGCGTAAATAATACTTTCGCAGCTTTTTTGACTTGAATTTTTTGATTCTTTAATTTTTCATTGTTCTGATTCTTCAGTTTTTCTTATTTAAAATTTTTCGAATTTTCAAGTTTCCAACTTTTAATTTGAATGCAAAATCTATTTTTCGTTTTGAGTTTTTCGAGTTTGTTTTCAATTTTTCATTTTTCAAATATTCGATTTGCAATTTTTCGTTTCGGTTTTTTACTTTTTTTATTTTTTCAGTTGTTCGATATTTCAATGTCCCGATTTTATAAATTTTTGTGTTTCCAGTTTTAATTATTTCAATTTTTCGTTTCTTCAATTTTCGATTTGCGATTTTTCAATTTCTCATTTTTTTGGTTCTTCAATTTTTCGGTTTTGCAAATTGAGTTATCAGGGTTATCGATCTTGACGTGCTAATTCCAAAAATTTAGCGCGTTTAGGGTCGCGGAGCAATATTTTTGAAATATTCGGAGTGAAATTCGAACTTCTCAAAATTTTTTATTTTTCGATTTCCTTGAATTCTCGATTTTTTGATTTTTCGAATTTTTATATTTATCAGCTTTCTGATGTTTCGATTTCTTGATATTTGAATATTTCGACTTGTCGGTTGTTAGATTTCCTAATCCTTAAAATTTTTTATTTTAGATTTTTCAGTTTTCTCATTCGATTTCTCGATCATCAATATTTCGACTTCTTGATTTTTCAATTTTCTGATTTATAAATTTTTTGACTTTAAAAATCTACAAGAAAATATATTTAGTTAAATTTCGAAAATCGTCGAAAAGGGGTCGAGATTTGCGTAAGTGGAAAATTTCATTTTTGAAAAAGTCATCTAAAAATTTTCGAAAAATTCGGTGTGAGATTGCGATATTTCAATGGGCGATTCTGGAAAAAAAAAAACGGTAGAAATTATCAAAAAAATTAAGTTGGAAGTGACTTCTACTGCCCGAAAGCTACAAGAAAATGTATGAAGTTAAATTTCGAAAATCGTCAAAAATGGGTCGAAATTTGCATAATTGTGGAAAATTTCATTTTTGAAAAGGTCGTCTAAAAATTTTTAAAAAATTCGGGGTCATAGATATTGACGTGGTGATTCCAAAAATATAGGATATTTAGGATCACGATGTTGAGGTTTAAATTGTTTTCAATTTTTCGATATTCAGTGATATTTCTTCATTTTGTTATTTCTCAATTTTCCAATATTTGAGTTTTACGATTTTTTAATTTTTCGAATTTTAAATGTTTTTGTTCTTAAAATTTTCAATTTTTCAATTTTTGACGTTTCTAAATTTTCAGTTCTTCGATTTCTCAAAATTTCGATTAATATTTTTTTATTTTCATATTTCTCGATTTCCCAACATTTCAGTGTTATCAATTTTCTAATTCTTTAATTTTTCGATCTTTAAAATTATTGAGTTTCCGATTTTAAATTTTCGATTCTTAAATTTTTCTTCCATTTTTCCACTTTCGATATTTTTGTGTTGTGATATCTCAGTTTTTTATTCTTCAATTTTTCGATTTTTCAAACTTTTTTTCGGTATTCAGTGTTGGGATTTTTGGATTTTTCGATTCTTCATATTTTTGATTTCTCGAATTCTTTATTTCGCGATTTCTCCATTTTCAGATATTTACGATTTTTGGACCTTTCAATTTTTTGATTTTTAAAATTTTCAATTTTTCAATATTTGAAATTTCTAAATGTCTAATTTTTCGATTTTTCAATTTCTCGTTTAATTGATATTTTTATTTTTCCATTTGTCGATTTCTAGGCTTTTCAATATTTCGATTTTTCAGTTTTTCGAATTTACAATTTTTAGATATTCAAGTTTTTGTTTTTCCAATTTTGAAAATTTTCGACTTTTTTTATTCTTTAATTTTTTGATATTTCAGCATTAGGATTTTAAGATTTTTGATTCTTCAGTTTTTCGATCCTTCATATTTTCGATTTCCCGATTTATTCAATTTGCTATTTCTCAATTTTACGATGTTTCGATGTTCTATTTTTCAATGTCTTATTTAATTGAATATTTGATTTTTTCATTTTTCGATTTCTCGACTTTTCAATGTTTCGGTTTTTCAGGTTTTCAATTTTTCGATTTTCGAGTTCTTTTTTTCCAATTTTAGGATTTTTCACCTTCGATTTCTCGACTTTTCGATTTGTCGATTTTTCAGTTTTTCAGTTCTTAAATTTATCTTTCATTTTTCAGTTTTTCAGTATTTCAGTTCTGAGATTTTGCAATATTCTTCAATTTTTGGATTTTTAGATGTTCCAGTTGTTAGTTTTTCAATATTTCGATTTTTAAATTTTGGATTTTTTCAATTTTTTGATATTTTAATTCTCCAATCTTTAAAATTTTTGATTATTGGATTTCTCGGTTTTCGATGTTTCAATTTTTCGAATTTTTATATTTTAGATTTTTCAGTTTTCTGATGTTTCGATTTCTCGATTTTTGAATATTTCGACTTTTCGGTTTATAGATTTTTTAATTTTTCGATATTTTAATTTTTCAATTTTAAAAATTCTTAAGTTTCCGATTTTAAATTTTCAATTCTTAGATTTTTCTTCCATTTTTCCATTTTCGATATTTTTGTTTTGGGGTGTTTCAGTTTTTTTATTCTTCAATTATTCGATTTTTCAATTTCTCGATTTTTCAAACTTTCTATTCCTAGATTTTCATTTTTCGGTATTCAGTGTTGGGATTTTTGGATTTTTCGAGTCTTCATATTTTTGATATCTCGAATTCTTCATTTCGCGATTTCTCCATTTTCCGATGTTCCAGTTTCACGGTGTTTGGACCTTTTAATTTTTAGATTTTTAAAATTTTCAATTTTTCAATATTTTATATTTCTAAATGTCTAATTTTTTGATTTTTTAATTTGTCGTTTAATTGATTTTCTTTTTTTAGATATTCAAGTTTTTGTTTTTCCAATTTTGAAAATTTCCAACTTTTTTTATTCTTCAATTTTTTGATATCATTTTGTTACATATTTCTCAATGTTCGGATATTTCACTTTTTCTATTCTTCAATTTCTTATTTAATTCAATTATTTCGATTTCTCGACTTTTCAATGTTTCGATTTTTCAGGTTTTCAATTTTTAGAATTTTAAATTTTTCGATTTTAAAGTTCTTGTATTTCAAATTTTAGGATTTTTCACCTTCGATTTGTCGACTTCTCAGTTTTTCGGGTCTTAACTTTTTTTTCAGTATTTCAGTTTTGAGATTTTGCAATTGTTACTTTCTCAATTTTTCAATATTTCGATTTTTAGTTTGAATTTTTTCAATTTTTTGATATTTTAATTCTCCAATTTTAAACATTTTTGATTATTGGATTTCTCGGTTTCCGATTTTTCAATTTTTCAAATTTTTATATTTTATATTTTTCAGCTTTCTGATGCTTTGATTTCTCGGTTTTTGGATGTTTCGACTTCTCGGTTCTTAGATTTTTCAATTTTTCGATATTTTAATTATATTTTTGATTTTTCGATTTTTCAGTATTTGGGTTTTGAGATTTTGGAATATGCTTCAATTTTTCGATTTCCCAATTTTTTACTCTATGGATGTGTCAAAATTTCGATTTTTAAATTTCAGATTTTTCTCAATTTTTCGATATTTTAATTTACCAATTTTGAAAATTTTTCATTTTTGGATTTCTCAATTTTTTTTGTATTTTAGGTTTTTCAGTTTTCTGATGTTCCGATGTCTGGATCTTTGGATATTTGGACTTCTAGGTGTTTTGAATTTTTCAATTTTTCGATATTTTAATTTTCGAATTTTAAAAATTTTTGAGCTTTCGATTTTTCGAATTGTCGGTTTCTTGATTTTGCGAATTTTTATCTTTTAGATTTTTCAGCTATCTGATGTTTCGATTTCTCGATCTTTGGATATTTAGACTTTTAGTTTTCCAAATTTTTGATTTTTCGATTTCTCGATTTTTCAGTTTTTCGATTCTTAAATTTTTCTTCCTTTTTCCATTTTTCAGTATTTGGGTTTTGAGATTTTGCAATATTCGGAATCTTTAATTTTTTGATTTTTCAAAATCTCGATTTTTTAATGTTTCTATTTTTTAAATTTCGATTTTTATATTTTAAATTTTTCTTAATTTATCCATATTTTAATTTTCCAAATTTGCAAATTTTTTATTTTTGGATTTTTCGATCTTTCAATTTTTCGAATTTTCATAGTTTAGATTTTTCAGTTTTCTGATTTAATTTCTCGATCTTTGGATATTTCGACTTTTCGGTTTTGAGATTTTTCAGTTTTTCGATATTTTAATTATTCAATTTTAATT